GGGCTGTTTCCTCTCCCACTTCATCCATTCAGTGAGGCTCTGCCCGTGCGCTCCTTGCGTCTTCTCTTCTTCCTTCCTTTTCGATGTTGCTTCTGCTACTGCCTTCCTACGTCTGAGGTCCTTGCGCATTGGGTTGTTCTGCATCTTATTCTCGCAGCCCCTACATTGTCTGCCTTGATCTGTATTTCACCCATCTTTCTGATCGTCATCCGCATTCGAATCCTTCTTTCCCCCACCGTGTTCCTCCCCGCCTTTCTTTTCCACTTGATGGATCACCACTCACGTTCTTTTTCATTTTATCACCTTTCTTACCCGACGTATTTCCCTGCCCATCTTCCATCCTTGCTTCCATCTATGCACATTTGCGCGTCCACTTTTACCCCCGTCCACTTTTGTAGGGATGCATTGTTTCTTTTGCATTTCGCTTCTTTATGAGCACTTGTTTTGCGCTCTGCCTTATAACGCCTTCTTCGTCTGCCCTCCTCGTCCTTCCTCTCTCCTGGGCCTACCTGTACCTCGCACTTCGTTTACTTTTCCCCTCTTCGCTTCTCCGTCATCCTTATTCTCCGTATTTCCGTTCGATTGACATCCTTCGCCCGTTCATCTTTTACGTTTGCATCTCGCACACTCGATGACGCGTATCACCCATTCCGCATTATCCACGGTTCTCTCCCGCCCATGTCGCTCGTGATATGTTCATTTGTCGATTCTCGCACTCGCTTCACCTCTCATTCCCTATTTCCCTACTTTGACGTGGAGCAGGGCGGTGTTATTGTTGAACCCGGTGAAGGTGCATTGGAGCTGAAGGAGACGTTGGCCCATGTTCTTGTGTGACAGGACGCGTTAGCGGTTATTGAAGAAACAAAAAGAATCACGTACAATAGCATGCGTCGAGAATCCATTTTTGATAAGGATGACCGTGGCCCCCACCACATTGGCGATGTCCCCAAACAGAGCCAGACCTTCAAGTTGAGGACGCCTCAGGTTATAATACTCGGGGGAAGACGGGACATCATGCCTTCTGAAGTGGTCAACTCGGGCGATAGCCGACGATAAACCTTATGCATATGTTGGCCCTCTCGACTTGCTCCGCTTCTACTTGCGGAGCTTGCCCTGTTATTCTGCCCCTCCACGACTCTATCGATCAGCCGTTCTCTTGTCGTTTTCAAGCTCATGCTCTCAATGAAACTGTCCAAGCTTTGCTCCCCCTAATCTCGACTTTTCGTCGTTCTCTCTCTCAACCAAACATGGGTGCGTGAATGCCATTGTATCGCACAGCACTATTATAATCTGATTATGTATCTACACATTTAGATATACTCAAGAAACTCGCCCAAAAATCGAACCACAAGCTGTAGATAAAAATAATTCAAACCAAATGTTTTCGATAAACGAAAAAGCGAACGAAAG